GAAAAGAAAAGAAAAGAAAAGAAAAGAAAAGAAAAGAAAAGAAAAGAAAAGAAAAGAAAAGAAAAGAAAAGAAAAGAAAAGAAAAGAAAAGAAAAAAGAAAAGAAAGAAAATAAAATTTTAAAAAGCAATAGCTAGTGCAGAATTTCATGCTTGTTTGGCAAAATTTTTAAAACAGATATTTGGATGTTGAGAAATTCTACAGAAGGAGGTCAGGCAGATTGGAAAAACCCAGTTCTGGCAGTTTGCATTTCCTTTGGTGCTATCCTTTTTCATGTGGCATGTCTGAGCAAAGCCCAGAGCGCTGGTGGCTGTGCCTTGGCTGACATGGGTGAAGATGCACCCAAGAGAAATGGAACTGCCATCATGTCCTCTGCTTTCTTCTCTGGTCCTGATGCTTGTTGGCTATGAAATGGTGCTGTAGCACTTCTGCTTTACACATACACTGGCCAACCCTTAATGTGCATTCAGAGCAAGCTGTTTTCCTTGGGTATGCCAGCTGCAATGCAGAGTAAAAGGAAAGGCAAACAGCACTTAAATGGGCTTTGTAGCCCTCATTGCAATGCAGTGAGAATAAAAGCTTCTTTGCTGCCAAAAGGAAAAAATCAATTTGCAGCAATATAGAGGCTCTTTCTTCACTGTATCCTCAGCTTACACTTACACTTTTACTTATGTTCCTCCACAAATTGACATCAGTTAAGATGTGGCAGCACGTGTTGTCTGACGCTATTACGTGGCTGGCCTGGGAGAGCATCCCACTCTCCTAACTCATCTTGAACACCTGCCTTCCAGCATGGATAGGACATGGAAGTGGCAAAACCTTCCTGCATCCCTCTACTCAGTTGGAGCATGAGGCCAGGTGCTGATTGGGTCAGGAGCACCAGTGGAAGCTGGTTGCAGGTTCCACTTTGCACAGATGGGTTTTAGTCACAGCCAAAGGCTGCCTCAGCAGCTTTGCCCAGGCATTTCCATCCCTGAGCCTTTGCCTTTCTCCCCTCATCCTACAAGCTCCTCAGGTCTGGGGGTCCTTTCCTGTGCAATGCACAGAATTACACCAAATAACAAGGCAACAGTCTATAACAATCCATGTTGCTCTATTCCTCCCCTGACTGCAAACATAGCTCCTCTACTACTTGATGTTTGTGCACCTTGTCGATCCAAGCAGGCTCCTGAGCACAGGACCACCCTAACTTGCGAGCGCTCCCCAGAGCTGCTTCCAGGCACGGTCCAGCAGTGAAGGCAGCAGCGTGGCCCTGGCTAGCAGGCAGTGTGCCTTCAGCCACCTCCATCTGCCAGCCAGATGGTGAACTGGCACAAACATGGGCTGACCCACAGCAGGCAGCCCTGACTCCCAGGGAAGTTTCTGGGCATGCTTCACTTTTAAGTAGAGACAAATGTCTGTGGTCAGCATGCCCCTGAGTCCACTTAGCCCCAACACAGGCAGTGTCTGTCCGCAGACTGTGCACAGCTGCGCCCTGACAGCAGGTCCAAAAGATGTAAACTGTTTTTTAGAACCAAGCTGGACTGAGCTTGTAGCCTAAAAGGAGTGGGAAGTAAAGCAGCATAATTTCCATGTTATTGTTTTCATTCTTCAGCTGTTCCAGAGACTGGAGTTGTTTCTGACATAATTAGGGCTCTATGGCTCTGCCTACAGAGCTCGTGGTAGAGTCCTTGTGAAGAAACCTTGATAGAAGTTATTCTCTATTGCTAGATTTCTGCAATCATACCCTTGGCTTTTCCTTCATTTACTGAAGAGAATGGAATAAGAAAGTGGATCTTTATATTGCACAAAACATATGAGAGCACTGGGAGTAGCATCAAAAAAGCAATAGATTTTAACTTCATAGGCAATATTTGAATAACCAACTGGGCAAAAAAATCTGTATTTACATAAGTATTCCCAAATTCTATAAACTTTATACTCCAGGCAGATTTTGATTTTTGGTATTCTTATTACTCAGCTTTGTACCTGAGTTTGAGAAACTGGGTGGAAAATAGGTAGTCCTAACTGCTATTTATATAATTCTAAATTATGGAAAACATAAGCTTTCACTTGAATAATGCTTGCACCACCTTTTTGCAAGCAGCTGCACAAAATCATTACACTTTCCAAAATTAATATGTTTGCTTGACTTTGGAAAAAAAAGAATTTGCCCATATCAGCATTTTGTTCCAGCAACTTAAAAATTATTATCTCCAAATGTCAGATTCTACATAATGACTAATTTTACCTTGAAATTGTCCAGGTTTCATTGTAAAAGTCTGTAGGTCTTAGTGGAGCACTTGAGTTCATAATTAAATCCAAAAATGCAGGTTTAATTATTTTGCTTTCTCAAGCTGTCAGGACAATTGAACTAGTTTCTTGGAAAAGCAAGCTCAGGTTTAGGAGAAGAAAATCCAACCACAAGATGGCATCTTGTTCTCACAGGAACATCCAGCAATGGGCAGGCATATTGCTGAAAACAAAATGAAGTGATAGGCATTTCAGTAAAACAAAACCATTTTAGACAGCACATTTGCTCATACAGCAGCCCAGAATAGGCTTGGCATGAGAACAAAGTAAAATGTGGAGAAATGAGCATATCTCCCTCTCACCCCACCCAAACTGTGGTTGTGATCTAATGTTTTTAATTGCTGCAATTGAAATAGAAAAAAAAAAGTCTGAATCCACCATGAACATAATGCAGGCACTTTGGGGCTATTGAAGGGAAAGTGGATTACTAAAACCAATTTCAGAACCTTTTGAGTATGAATTACTCCAAAAGACAGTCTGTGGCTGATGTTCTTAACAGGAAAATACTTCGTCACTCTCATGGATGAAACAACTCTTTCCTGTAATTCTTTATTTCCAGTACATGCATAATATCTGTGGTATGTTCCAGTTATCAGAGTGACAAGACACAAAATAAAGCTATGGGCTCAGCTGAGAATTACTTTAGTAATATTACCACAGGAAAAATGTGACCGGCTCTGGAATTGATATAGTATGAAAGCTAAATTTAAAAATACACACATTTTAGCTGACACTGCAGTTTAAAACAGAAGGCTCTAGAACATAAATGTCTTTTATTTCTTATGTGTCCTATTAAGTAAAACCTTTGCAGTCTCAAAGCACTGTATTAAAGACATGAGTGTGGGTCCTCTTTGGCCTCAGACATTTTATTCTCCCTGAGTAACACTACACACCTTTGCACCAGAAACAGTACACTGGGGACCTCAGTGCCTTGGGGGATGTGCCTCCAAGAGCAGAGGGAGAGCAAAGGCAGCAAGGTTCCCTCCAGACTGCCCTCTGCTTTATGGCAGCAGCAGCAGCAGCAGCAGCACATTCACCACCATCTGCTTTCAGCTAGGGTTTAACCAGGAGCCATGAGATGAGGGGCATGGTAGGGAAGCAGCAGTTCCCTGCTTAGCCAGAAGCTGCCCTAGGTCATGCCTCTGTGTGCTGGTGATGGACGAGGTTCCAGGCAGCCCCAAGAGCAGGGGAGTGGGGCCAAGTGGACAGAAAGCAGATGAGCTGAAAGGTGGATAGAGTGGCCTGTGATATCCCCAAAACCAGCAGCATATTTGAGCAAGAGAGTGCCTTGTAAATTGTGGTCCTTCCAAAGGCTGTTCTTCTAAGGGTGCACATATACGAGACCTTGCTCAGGCACGCTGCCCTACTTGCTGCTGCTGTTCTGCTTGCTCTGAAGTGAAATATCTTGTAGATGTCCTGTAAATCATAATCCAAGACAATACTGCATCTGGCTGAAAGTGCAGTGAGAGTTTCAAGAGTCAGGCTGCTGTCATCTGTATTGCATTGACAGCACCTCTTCACAAAATTTTACACGGGCCCTCTAATGACCATGAGAGGTCACGAACCCCCTGCAATGGCTCATCAGGCAGACAGCACCATGCTCCTCAGGAAAATACCCAGGCTGCAGCTCATCTGCTCAACCGTGAATATTGACTGCTCAAGTACCTTTGTCCTTACTGAAGGCTTTCACTAATGCACTGGACAAGTATCCTGCTGCAATTACCATCTGAAATCTAGGAAACAAAAGCACAGCTCTCTTCAGCTGTGGCTTGGAGAAATGCCTTATCAAAGTTCTCCCAAATTCTGCCTTCTTTTGTATCTATGTAAGAGACAAAACATCAAGAGAATGATTGTGTATTATTCCCATGTTTATTAATGGGAGAAAACACTTTCCAAAGTTTTGACTGTTGTTAAATAGAAAGAACCATGCAATAAAAAAAAAAAAAAAAAAAAAAAAAAAAAAAAAAAAAAAAAAAAAAAAAAAAAAAAAATCAATTATGACAAGAGTTCAGGAAATATCAGGGAAAATATAATTGAAATTGTCCTTTTTTCCCCACATTGAATTTTGTCTCATTTTTATCCATCTTGTTTAAAAATGGATCTGTTCTGTTTGCAGTGGGAAAACAATAGCATAGACAATTTACTCAGTACAATCGCTCATTTGAGATCTCTTATAGTCAGAGAGCTCCAACAAAACCTGTATCATCACAGAAGCTCATGAATGCTATTACACATCTGCACACACAGAATATGACATTCTTGACACTCCACTGCCATCTGAATAGATGAAAAAATACTTTATGACACACTTCAGAGCTGAGAGTGTCTTGCAAGAACTTCCACATTTTAAAACATTGAATTGAAGGGATTTTTAAAAAATTAATTATGAAAATTGTATTCAGAAAAAATTGTATTTTTGTTTCTAGTAGTGTGGCTTAATTGCAGCTTTCTCATCAGCATTGCTTTCACCCAGGAGAGCTATATTCCATCTTGTGTTCCACCAAAGCCCTGACACTTGGAGAAAAGCCCACACTGAATGCCACTATGTTGGCAGAGCTCTGCAGAACTGAATCTTCCTCAGGTAGACATGACTGCTTTGCCTACATACCATGAGTCTGAGCATCCCAAGTCAGAGAGGAAGCAAAAAATGAGTCAAATTTGAGATCTCTGCATATGGTCTTGCCAGTAGCTCCTCCATTTAGTAACACTTGAGAGCTGGGACTTCACAATAAAACTGTTTAGCCCTGAAAACTACCCCTGCTTCCACCTCTGTTACCAGGAAGCACACTGCCTGAACCAAAACAAGCACCAATGATGAATTGGTGTCTCTCCTCCACTCTGGTTCCCATGGACAGAATGTTCTGACGAGAGCTGCAAAGTATCTGCAGGTAAATACTTGTGGGAGGGGAGGGGAGGGGAGGGGAGGG